TCGGGGAATTCGGAACAAGGGAATTTAGAGTAGCACGATTGTCTTTGCTCTGCTTGCTGAAACGCCGCCGCTTGACGGGCAGCCCGCCTTCGCAGAAATTACCGGTCGCCTAGGCAAATTCTTATGTCCTGTCTCGGCTCGCTAACGAGTGTTCACCTCTGTAATTGGGGGCGTAGATACAATAAGGGCGTGAGATCACCTCGAACCCCTTTTTGTACGCGTCGACTCGATGCGCGCGTTCTGCGCTCCAGAGGATATTCTTGTGTAACGGGTTCGAAACACGCTGATCTTTTTGTTTTGCGTGAATCGGAAGTAGAATGGGTCGGTGTTGTGATTCATGTTTGGCAACCCTAATCCACTTATGGATAACGGTAATTGCGATAAAACAGCAATTAAAGGAGTCGTGCCGGTTACTGTGGGGTGACCAACTGCTGTGCCCTCGTTTTGTTTCCATGCGTAATTAATCGGTCTGTTTATCGAGTTAGTCGTCTTATATTTTTGCGTTCTTTTATTTTATTTATTATTGATGTTGATTGTGTCCGAAAACAAATCGAAGGTGTATCGAAAAAATAAATAGATATTATTCGATTTGAAAAGAAATAAAATAAAGGTGAGCAAACATTCAGCATGTCTTATTCGATCAAAATAAAACTAATTATGCCCGAAAACGAATTAAAGGTATATTGAAAAAATAAATGAATCAGTTTAAAAATAAATAAAATAGAAGTATTCAAAAATTCAGCATGTCTTATTCGATAAATATAAAGCTAATTATGCCAGAAAACGAATCAAAGGTGTATTGAACAAAATAAATGAATATTATTCGATTTAAAAAGAAATAAAAGTATCAAAAAATTCGGTATATCTTATTCGATAAATATAAAGCTAATTATGCCCAAAAATAAATCAAAGTCATTACCCAATGATTTTATTTAACTGGTTATTTTAATTAATCCGAATTAACCTTCGGACAGCGAATCATTTTCACAACTGTACTTATTGACCATGTTCTTTGTTCACGAGAATACTTCAAAGAATTTTTAAAAAAATATTTTTGGAGATATTTCTCGCAGACTTATTAACATTTCTGTTTCTAATGCAACAACAACCTGTTTCATTTGATTGTCGAGAATTGAGTGATTCAGTGAGCGATTTGAATACTCTGGGTTAAAATTGACCCGGTCACCGCTTGGCGAGAGTTAAGAGAACACTAGCGTTGGGATAATGGAACAGTTGCTTAGTTACAGTGCTAGACTCGATCCTTTCGATTTGTGCAATAAATTCTGTTGTATATTAATCGATTTGCACAGATCTGTTCAACACAGTATTCAAATATCGATTATGAGAACTGTATATGGCTTCATTATCGTATCTCCTCTACGCGATTATTTTAAGGTCATTATATCATTCGATCAAGTGAAAATTGCTTTAATTACATGCAACTATTTCACGTGGAAATATTGTTACGATATAATTAAATTGGATGCAGTTTATTCTGATGTACGATCATTATTGCGGTTCGCTTTGTTCGCTGAAACTGGCTTCATGTTTTATATTGTGTGAACATTTGCCCTTTGTAAACTCTAATCGTCCACAAAGGAACAAATTCCTCCCGTTAACGAAACATTTTCCCGCGAAAAGTGACCTATTCCGAGCAAGAGTTGCATGCCCGTCGTGCATTAATTACGTTAATTAGAGGCGAGATTCTGCGGGAGCCTTGGAAGTCATAATTTATTAACACAAATGGATTAGCGACGATGGTAGAGTGTACAATGCCGAACCAGTGCGATAATCAACGGAGGCCGGGACAATTTGTAAAAATCATGAATAATAATGAAAAATTGTACAAAGTGTTTCACATTTATCTTGTAATTCTGCGAACACAGCGTACACATGTTTAATATACAATTAATGTACAATTAATAAAATATGCATATAAAAAATATAAAAAAATATAATATACAATTAATAAAATATGCGAAAGTAGAGACAGACGTTTAATTTTGCTAAGATTTCAATTTAAATTATCATGAAGAAAAGCTTAGAAAGTATTGAGAGTCTTGGCGAAATAAAAACAACAAAGGCATTCAGCAAAAATTGTTATAAATGTTTACGAATTAGACTACTGTTTTATCTAATAAAGTTACATGTTACAAAGTTACAGACGATTTCAATCACAAATATTATTGCAGTTTTCATTACACATTGTCCATATTAAAAGTGTATTAACAATTGGTAAGTAAAATTGCGAAAAGAATTTTACTTAATAACGAATTGTTTAAAATACTGCTTTTGTGAAACGCACAACTTACAGACAATATTTGTTTCTACGTCCTACGATTTCCGTGATAAAAGAATTTTCAGCTGCCAGCTTCGAGGGCTGTTATCACCCCTTTAATGTTATCGCCTAATATTTTTCTGAAAACTATCTCCCACGTAAGTTTCAACAAAATCGGCTTGTTTAACTTGAATATATTCCCTTGAGAGCCATATGACGTGTACTACTTTCAATAATGAGCATTTTAAATATTCTGTTTATACAATTCTCTCGTCAATTAAAATTATCAGCTTCACTGGGACATGCCGTCGCGATTTTTACAGAAAAGCTATAGTTATAACGAAAAAGTTACTTCAAATGACCTCAGGAACACCCCCCCCCCCATTTCTGTATTACGAGACATTTTCGGTGTAAAATATACACCCTATATATTTTAAATGCTTCTAATATTCGTCAAATCAATGAAATATTTCAATTAATACCTATCTAATTTAATGCAGAAATAAATGAGCCGTTTATTTTGAAAGTGGCATAAGTCACTTTGTTCTGAAGTCTGAAGTTGCGTTTTAACACGTTTAAAAATATGGATGCTAACTTTCGAGAAGATTTACTTGTATTTGTTATCTCAGGATACTGATATTTTTCTCAGTATAAATAATTTCGTATAAACATTAAAAAATCACCACTTTTCATTACGGTAAAGTGACTTAAGCCACTTTCAAAATAAATAGTTTAGAAAAAAGTGATGTTTTGAAAGGACAGTGATTTACTAAAATTGTTGAATAAATTACATATGTAATAATAATTTATACCATGAACATATTTAATATAAAGGTTTGATTTATAAGTATTTCTGATTTTAATATTCATAAAATACAAAAATGATTAGTACATTTTGAAACATAAGTATAAGTAATTTATATGAAAATACATCAGTTCAATTTAATTTTCGTCATCAATAGGAGTGATTAAGTCCTCGAAAATCGTGTTTTGTTTCAAATTTTTAAAATAAAAATATAAAATAACTTCCTCTTTTTGGTGACAAATCCAAAGTTAGAAATTCACCTTTTTCATCTAAAGTTAGTTTATAAAACATTTTATAGCCATCTGCTGGCGGGTCTGGAGAGGTAGCCGCCACATCACTATAATATAATTTACAAAACTGCACTATTCTCTTTCGCACTTATAAAAATAAGTCCAGTGATCACAAGTTTTTTAAAAATACTGAAAATAATTCAAAACAATACCTCACACACACTTATCGCACGTTTCTATTTCTTTTACACTAAGCCCCGCAATTAATTTCCTGAGTACAGCGACTTACGCCACTTTCAATATAAGCATATTTGTTATACCGTTAATTAGCAAAACTTCTCTCGAACAAATCTCAATTTGTCTCAACTTATTGATTGAAAATTTTTTTAAAATGAAAAGATACCGTTCAATTGTAATTAGTGTTACCATTAACTCGATTTTTTTGAAAAAGTGACTTATGTCACTTTCAAAATAAACGGCTCAAATGACTATTTCCAACGAAGCGTATGTGACACAGTTAAGAGAAATATTTACAGTATTTGCAAATATTTGTTATTACTTAATTGAAATATTTGTATCCAGATCTGCTCAGGATCCTTGCATGATCGTATGAGATTTTTCTTGATCCACTAGGTGGCCGAAATTAATTCGAGGAGCGCCGTAACGACAGCCGTGGATCGAACATCTGCCGATGTCTCGTTCCCTTGAACGCGATCGCAACATTAACGCTCAGATACCACAACAATGGACGTATTTACACAAATGCAAGAGGAAGCACACCCTCCCATTGAGATATTATGCTCGACGCGCGGCCACGCCAGAATCGGCCACCGTTCCGCTGATAAATTGCATTTCGCCGATGACTTCCGTGTCGATGCGTCCACTCTAGGCCCCCCCGTCCGGATTATTATTGTTACGGCTGTTATGGCTTTTAACCATTCAACGAAGGGCGTACACGCAATCTCTCGACGCTGTTTTATTTCCCCGTGTCGTTGTTAAACCCGTGAATCGAGGCCGAAATTCCCAAACGGCAATTATTTTGCACTAATCACTGTTGTCGGAAAATCAATCTTTTGTTTATTAATTAATTATTTATTAAACATTATTCTCGTTGTGTGCATAATATATTTTTAACAGTTTTAGATAGCTGACTTTTTGGTACATGGCTTTGCAAAATTGTGAAATTCCGCTTGAAAGTTGAATTGAAATAAGATTATGACTTTAACTAGGTTGTTAAACAAAATTATATATATTATATATTAATAAAATTATTTATACTTATAATAGTAATTATTTAAATAATTTCTAGAGTTATGCAATTCCCCAATTTTGCAAAGCCGTACACCGAAAATAAATATAAATATATATAAAAATGGATAAATTTTGTTCAATTTGTACAGTACCTTTTATTGTTACGTGACCCATTGAGATCATTTAAAAATTAGTTGCGATAAATACTATTGTACAGAACTGCTATGCAGAAGATTATTGTTTCTGTGATATTTATTAACAGATAACGCGCAATTCAAATATCGTATCATCAAACTAAAAGTTTGACGGCAAAGAATTTCTCGAACTGCAAACAAAAAATTGCACTCACAATGATTGGCTTGTGAGCCAAACGTATGACGTCAGGAGAGAACTCGATTGGACGGTTTCAACAATGTTCCGATGGTTTTTGTTGCAGCTTTGGAAAGCGGACGGGTGGCAGTGCCAGGAGACCTAACGAATGTTTCGTTCTCGAGTCCTCTGAGATGATTGTTGTAAGTATAATTACCGTTACATTTTTTACACGTTGCCGATACTACAGCGCAGACATAAACGTTAGTCAGCAGCAAATAAATTATTATCGAATTGTTGCTAGTGTTTAGAAATTCACACGTTTTATGGAGATATGGCGAAATAGAAGAAGCCAGAAATTGGTTATTAACACGTTCCGTGCCGACCTTTTTTTACTCGAATCTTCACACTTTGATATTTTACTAAAACTTGATGTATTACGTGCAATTATTAATTCTCGTACACATAACAACGTAACAAAAACTTATCAACGCCCATTCTTGCGGTGGAAATTGATTCTTCGGTTCTACATTTCTTGTAAACAATTTGTTCAGTTCACTAAGTAAACATGCAAGCGTGTACCATCGATGGTACACGTGGCACGGAACGTGTTAAATAGTCTATTTTTTTGGAGAGTTTTTGTAACACTAGGCGTAAAACTGAGTCGCATCTAATCTGTTTTTTGCTACTTCGCACAATTGATACAACTTTCGAATAAAAAATATGCCAACGTTGCTTCACGAATTCGATGCATCGTGGAAACGATTAACTGTACGCTGACTAAGATTAAGATGTTTGGACATAATCTTATAAATGAACTGCATATTCAGCACTGTATGCTTTTCGAACTCAAAGTTTACGTTGTCTCTGATGAAGGAACTGCAGCAGCTTACTCACTTGACACGGTCTCATTTAATTATCATCTGTTCGGGTCACTACCTCACCGTTTATAACTAAGGTGTCCCATTTTAATCTATAATATACATATGATGTACATATATATATATATATATATTATATATATATTAAATATATACATTTATAGTTTGAAAAATATCTACTATAAATGAATAAATAATAACAATATAATAATATATATATTATTATATTGTTATTATTGATTCAATTTTATAATAATATATATTATATTGTTATATTGTCATTATTTATTCATTTATAGTAGATATATATATATATATCTACTATAAATGAATAAATAATGACAATATAACAATATAATAATATATATTATATTGTTATATTGTCATTATTTATTCATTTATAGTAGATATATATATATATATCTACTATAAATGAATAAATAATGACAATATAACAATATAATAATATATATTATATTGTTATATTGTCATTATTTATTCATTTATAGTAGATATATATATATATATCTACTATAAATGAATAAATAATGACAATATAACAATATAATAATATATATTATATTGTTATATTGTCATTATTTATTCATTTATAGTAGATATATATATATATATCTACTATAAATGAATAAATAATGACAATATAACAATATAATAATATATATTATATTGTTATATTGTCATTATTTATTCATTTATAGTAGATATATATATATATATCTACTATAAATGAATAAATAATGACAATATAACAATATAATAATATATATTATATTGTTATATTGTCATTATTTATTCATTTATAGTAGATATATATATATATATCTACTATAAATGAATAAATAATGACAATATAACAATATAATAATATATATTATATTGTTATATTGTCATTATTTATTCATTTATAGTAGATATATATATATATATCTACTATAAATGAATAAATAATGACAATATAACAATATAATAATATATATTATATTGTTATATTGTCATTATTTATTCATTTATAGTAGATATATATATATATATCTACTATAAATGAATAAATAATGACAATATAACAATATAATAATATATATTATATTGTTATATTGTCATTATTTATTCATTTATAGTAGATATATATATATATATCTACTATAAATGAATAAATAATGACAATATAACAATATAATAATATATATATGTATATACATTATGCATTTATAGCTGTCTCTTATACACATCTAGATGTGTATAAGAGACAGCATTTAATAATATTTATTATAGAATATACTTTCCATCGTTACTTACGATTTCTTGCCAGCGTGATGGCAACTTGTAAATACCATTTTTAAAAAATTATTTATTTATTTTTATTTTTAATTTTATTTTTATAATTATTTATTTATTTTTAGAGGCGAAGAACTCGACTAGTGCTTGATTGACATCAGCTTCAGTTTTGAATTTTTTTTTCCTGTAAAAAGTTTTGCAAAGAGAGAAACAAGTGATAATCGGAGGGTGCTAGGTCCGGGGAGTATGGTGGATGCGACAGAATTTGCCAGTCTAGCTCTGCGATTTTCACGAGATATAGTCATATATGTCTCAAATCAACATGTGCATATGGATTGAAACTTGAAGTGACACTATCGGACAGAACTTTCCGGTAGACCTAATATATGTATATTAATAACATATATTAATGACATAATCTTTCAATTTTCATTTAACCAAAAAATCGGAAAGAACTGATTTTTTTATTTAACAGAAAATTTCGCACTTTTTATTTTTACAATGTCCCACAATTTGCGACCTTCTGACACGTTTTTTCACCTAAATAATAAATATTTGCACCGCAAAGAGGATAGGAAGACGTGAAATGAAGGAACTGTTCGCAGAAATGTACAGCCGTCTTCGACGCAAAATAAAAATTTCAACGACGACGTCTCGTACCAGAACTAAAATAGAAATGCACCGCGCATTTCTCTGGATTATTTATCGTAATCGTGAACAAACATTTGCGAACTGTGGAATACCGGGCCACCGAACCCCATAAATATTTCTACGAACAACGAACAACAGAAATTTCTGTTTTTCCGGACGGTTCGTCCCATATTCATCGATGCAGGCATTGCAGGCAGGCAGGCAACCCCCGGTGAATCGCGTTGCAGCCACGTTCGCTAACTATTCCGGATACAGTAGCGATATCGCATAATGAAAGACAATGCTGTCCAGACTGGAGACACAGCCTGCTAGACAGTTAATCAATAGTTCCTCTCCTGAGTGTTATGCTCGCGTCGAGTTTTCGAGACTGTGCACCGCTGCACTTCCCGATTCGTCCTATCTACTTTTGCGATTGCCGGTTGTTAATTATTCGAAGCGAATTTGACCTAATTAATTCGATCGAATCGGTCGTAATTTCCTAAAACAAATTGCCAGCGTTTACTTTCTCGAGAGAGGTCAATAACATTCGAGGTTAAATACGTGTTGTACGAATTATTGAAGGGGAAAATGCATTTTAACTTAACGCGTGTTGCTTGCAATAAGTACGGAACATTTTTATTTTGCACAGAGATTCGCGATCTATTAACACTCGAACGGCGCATCTTTTTCACAGTGATGTAACCGAATGATGTGATCCCGGTCATTGATAACTTTATTTAGCAATTTCTTTGCAACTAGTCCTTCGAAATGCACTAAAACTAGTACAGAAAAAATTCTGTAATCAGTTCTCGGTGCTAAAATGAAGCCCGTCGTTCGAGTGTTAATTTCAAAGCTGATTTTTACGTTATAAAATGTAATTATTGAATTTAATATTTTCCATATTTATAGAATA